GACATGAGTTTAAACAAGCTCCTGAAGTTGGTGATGGACAGGGAAGCCTGGTGTGCTGCAGTCCATGAGGTCACACAACTGAGAGACTGAACTGAACTGAGTCTTTCCAAACTTTGGGAGCAGGGGTTAGAAAGCACAGCCTGCACTAAAGGAACTAGCAGTTCAGGCTCTGGGAGTGAGAAATGTGAAGGGCGATTGTTTCCCCAGCTCCTTTCCGGGGCTCTCCACCCCACGTCTCCTCTGCTGAGGCTCTGATTACCTCTGTGGCTTCCGTGGCCTCTGTGACCCAAGCCCTGCCTGCCTGTCCAGAGTCTCCTGGGGCCTCCTCACCCCAGCTCCCTGTGTCCCCTTCATCTCCTCCTCTGCCTGTTACACCCTCCCCTGCACCTTTGCTCTTGCTGACATTTTGTCCGCTGCTTCCACTTCAAGCATGACTCCCTTTGGGAGGCTATCACCTGGTGCAGAGTAAATTCTGTATCGGTATCTGTTAAATGAATGAATAAATGATTGGTTGTTTAGGAGGGCCCCAGGCCTTCTTAAGGAAATAATAGACCTTTGGCATCTGTGCCAAATGGCAGGTAGACTTCACCTCCCTCCCGCCTGACATGCCCAGCTCGTGGCAGGAGTGGCCAGGAGGGAGAAAGCAGAGGCAGTGCTGGGGTGAGTGACTGCGGGTGGCTCTTCCCAGCTCACAGTCCTCAACTCTATGTCTGGGTCACCAGGACAGTCTGCACACTCTCTCAGGCTCAGCCCATGGCTCTGTGGCTGACTTTCAGAAGGCCAGGGCAGGACGTGGTGGGCCTTCTTTCTGGAAGACTCGGTGAGGCTGCCTGTGCTGCAGAATGGGCGGTGTCCTGGGCTCTGGGCTTCCAAGGACCCTGAGCGTGTGTGCTTGTTTTGGCATGCGTCCTGGGCCTTAGCTCTGTGCCAGGCCCTGCTTGGTGACCACACAGTGACCTTGCCCACTGGAGCCCTCTGCTGAGCCACCCTCTCTGAGCTTCCTCAGTGGAGGCGAAGCTCTGGCTTTCCGGAGCTCCGAGCTGTGCGCAGAGCCCAGCCTGTGAAGCCCGAGCGAGAGGACAGGAGGACAGCCTGGCTGCCAGGGACTGACCTCCTACGGAGGCCGAGGTGGGGGCATGTCTGGTGGGGCAGCCGATGGGGAGGGAAGAGGTGGACACCGTCCAGTGGGGCTCAGCAGGGTGGGGCCTTGGCAGGAGTGGCCAGGAGCCTGCAGACAGGAAGGAGCCCTTATTAGGAGTTTGGAGCCTGGCAGGGAGGACAGGGGCTAGTGAGTTTATGTGGAGTTGGTGGGCAGAAGTCTCCTAAAGGTGGACGCAGTTACTCTGATGGGAAGAGACTCCTCAGTGGGAGCACTGGGGAACTCAGGCCAAGGTCATGCTTTGGCGAGAGTGCCTGGGGTCAGGGTGACTCGCCAGAGCAGCAGCTGAGGAGAGGCCAGCTGAGCCTTCTTCCCCCGTGTGTGTGTGTGCGTGTACGTGCGTGTACACTTGTGCACACAAGGGCCCCTTGGTGAATGCCAGGCAGTGGAAAACACTGCTGGGCAGACAGCGTCTGAGCCGTGAGCTCCCACATACCGCTCACCTTGGTGCCCTTGTGGGGTAATCCCACGGGGTAGGCCGTGATGGAAGAGGGGGCTCCGAGGTTGATGTCCCATGGGCAGAAGCAGGACCTGTGTCATGGAAGGCTAGTGTCACCGGCTTCTAGAGGAGGGCCTCAGGCTCCAGACTGGAAGACATGAGTCAGAGATCCCGCTAAGGAGCCCTCATGTTGGGGTGTCTGGTCGTCCAGTCTATAGCCCAGCTCAGGTATCCTCTTGGGCCAGAACTGACCTGGGATCCATTTTCTCAGGGGCGTCCTGAGCCGCCTCTGAAGACCTTTCCAGTAGAGGTTGCTGGGGCACTCTGAGCTCTCTGCCTACACAGGGGACTCTGAAAGGCCAGCACTCCTGTCAACACCCAAAGCTGGTGTCTTTGTTCAAATGTCAGAGCCTGTATTGTAGTTGCCCCCAGTAAGACATCTGGGGAAACACCAGCTTTGGGCAGTATCTCAGGGACACAGTATCCCACTGCTTCAAGCTCCTTGGTGTGGCTTCCTTCTTACATGGGTGGGGCTTTGACCTGATGAATGAAGTTTAGGGCAGCAGCAGGCTGGTGAGGCAGGGGTGGAAGGGGGATTGGGGGTGGCCTTCTTTAAGGGCACCTGCCAGGGAGAGATCTGACACACGCTGGTTCCCCCTCGGGCTTCCCAATGGCAAAAGCAGAGGCCTCTCCTCTGGGCCTGGCTACCAGCAGTGTTTCTGGGTGGCCCTGAATGAGCAACTTGGTTCCAGAGGGCCTTGGGGAATGATGGCCCCGGAGGCCATTCCTCACTGGACTCTTTCACCCACCTTTTCTCTTGTTTTGAATGGTTCAGACCCAAAGCTCACAAAATATGTTTCAACCCATTTAATTTTTAATTGATAGTTTGTAGTATTTTCTTTGAAATGTAGGCATCACCACCAGGGACTGTGATAGTGTGAAGAGCTAACAAAACAGAACCCATAGAGGATTTAATCCTGTACTTTCTTTGTAATTTACATTTCTGAATAAGCAATACATTTAAAGTTCTGTAACAAAGCAAACAAACAGTCATGCTGTGAAAAGTCTCCCTCCCCTTTGCCTCCGTCCATTTAGTTTCTACCTCCCTAAATGGGTACCACTCTAAATATTTCTCACGTTGCCTCCGTGTGGCTCTGGAAGGCACCACGAAAAACACACACCCACACGTATATATATTTATCAGTTCAGTCCAGTCACTCAGCTGTGTCCTACTCTTTGTGACCCCATCAACTGCAGCATGTTAGGCTCCCCTGTCCATCACCTGTCCATCACCAACTCTCAGAACTTGCTCAAACTCATGTCCATCGAGTCGGTGATGCCATTCAACCATCTCGTCCTCTGTCGTCCTCTTCTTCTGCCTTCAATCTTTCCCAGCATCAGTGTCTTTTCCAATGAGCCAGTTCTTCGCATTAGGTGGCCAAAGTATTGGAGTTTCAGCTTTAGCATCAGTCCTTCCGATGAGTATTCAGGACTGATTTCCTTTAGGACGAACTGGTTTGATATCCTTGCAGTCCAGGGGACTCTCAAGAGTCTTCTCCAACACCACAGTTCAAAAGCATCAATTCTTCAGCGCTCAGCTTTCTTTATAGTCCAACTCTCACATCCACATGTGACTACTGGAAAAACCATAGCTTTGACTAGACAGACCTTTGTTGGCAAAGTAATGTCTCTGCTTTTTAATATGCCCTCTAGGTTGGTCATAACTTTTCTTCCAAGGAGCAAGCATCTTTTAATTTCATGGCTGCGGTCACCATCTGCAGTGATTTTGGAGCCCAAGAAAATAAAGTCTGTCACTGTTTCCATTGTTTCTCCATCTATTTGCCTTGAAGTGATGGAACTGGATGCCATGATCTTAGTTTTCTGAATTTTGGGTTTTAAGCCAGCTTTTTCACTCTCCTCTTTCATTTTCCTCAAGAGGCTCTTTAGTTCTTCACTTTCTACCATAAGGGTGGTGACATCTGTGTATCTGAGGTTATTGATATTTCTCCTGGCAATCTTGATTCTAGTTTGCGCTTCATGCAGCTCGGCATTTCACATGATGTATTCTGCATATAAGTTAAAGTTAAATATATAAATAAATATACACACACACACAGAGCCATATATATATACATACATACATACATACATACACACACACACACAATGCATGTGAAGTCTTATTTTCTTCCTTTTTTACATGAAAGATTGTGTGCTGTGATGAATCTTATTTATTTATTTTTCATTTAACGATGTGTCTTGAAAATCTTTCTGGATCACTTCACAGAGGAAGTCTTCTTTCCTTTTTGCTGCTGCACAGAGTTCTACTGTGTGAGCAGACTGTAACTTATTTAACCAGTTCCTAAAACAAACTTTGGATTGTTTCCTGTCTTTTGCTACTAGTACTTTGTACATGTATCACTTCCTATAGGTGTAAGTTTAACTGTAAAATAAACTCCCAGAGGTGCAATTGCTCTATCCAAGAGAACTTGCATTTGTGATCCTGATTTTGTTGTTTAGTCACTGGGTTGTGTCTGACTCTTTGCGACCCGATGGACTGCAGCATGCCAGGCTTCCCTGTCCTTCACCATTTCCTGGAGTTTGCTCAAATTCCTGTCTGTTGAGTTGGTGATGCTATCTAACGGTCTCACAGCCTTGTGGTGAAGGGGCTTGTGTAACTCAGTGAAGCTATGAGCCGTGCCGTGCTAGGCCCAGGATGGGTCAGGATGGGTCATAGTGGAGTGTTCTGACAAAGTGTGGGCCACTGGAGGAGGGAATGGCAGAGATTCCAGTGTTCCTGTCGCGAGAGCCCATGAGATCTTGATAGATTTTATCAACTTGTCCACCAGGGGTGTGCGATGAGTAGACTCCCATCAGACCTGTATGAAAGCATGTGTTTCCCTACAGCCTTCCTAACCCTGTGTTTTATTGGCTGGTCACATGATGTGATGGCAAACGTCCCAGGTAAGGGCCTCAGCTCTGGGACAGTACTGATCCAAGGGGACCTTCACTGCAGGAGAGGCGGTGGTGCCTGGTGGTTAAGCCTCTGAGTCAACCTGAGTTCCAATCCTCAGGCAAATCAGTCTACTTTTCTAGGTCTCAATTTTCTCATCTGCAAAATGGGGGAAATAATGCCATCTGCATTGGTTTCATTGTGAGGATTAACTGCAGTGATACATGCTTCACGCAGGGCCTGGCATGTGGCTGTGGGAAGCTGGCTCTGGCCTAACCAGTCGGGCGACCTTGGCAAAGAACCCCTCCCCACCTGCGCCCCTGTGTCCTCTCTCATCAGGGAAGGAGGTGGGCTTGTGTGTCTCCCAGACCCGCTTCCCAATCCAGGGTCTGGCCTGCCAGCAGCTTGCGGCACCCGCACTCACCCCTCCTCTCTCGTGCTCATCAAAGGTATTCAGGAGTCTCCTGTGCCGAACGGCCACTCACTGCCAGGCCGAGATTTCCTCCGGAAGCAGATGCGGGGAGACCTGTTCACGCAACAGCAGCTGGAGGTGCTGGACCGCGTGTTTGAGAGGCAGCACTACCCGGACATCTTCACCACCGCAGAGCCCATCAAGCCTGAGCAGGTATGACCCCGACTCGCTGCCTCCGCCACCCGCCACCTGCAGGCAGGCCTGGGTGCTGTACCCAAAGGCATCCGGCAGGGTGTGCGTGAGAGTGCCGGCTGTTACTCAGAGCCACACCTGGCCAGTGGCGGCCTCCAAGGTCTAGAGGACGCATCTGGGGCTCTCGCGATTGCTGGCCCTGGTGCCTGGTCTCTCGGGCCCGGCGGGGGGCGTTCCGTGTCTGGTTGTGCTTACCCGGGGCTCTGCACACAGGGTGGTGTAATGATGTCCTGAGCCGCTTGAGGTAGTCTTGGGTCATTATCCTGTCTGTCAGGATGCAGGTGGAGATGTGTGAGCACTGTATGGCCATAAACCAGGTGATGATGGCCCTGGCATGTCCCCCACTGTCAGCCCTCTCGTCATGTTGCCCTGTCATGCTTTTAGAATTGAATCCAAGGGTCTGGAGGTGAAGAAGTGTCTCACTGGACAGATTCACAGCTGGGTCATTTGCAAGAGAGGGAAGAAAGCAGGATGATCCCTTGCTAGCAGCCTTCTGCTCTATCCTGGGCTGAGAAGCAGTCCCTGCCTGTGACTATAGAGAAGGGAGGGACCAAAAAGGCTCTGCCCAGGGAGAGGCTCTCAGGACCTCGATAAGTTTCCCCCTAAGTACCAGATTTGATTCAGGAGACTGTTTCCTAGTGCCCCGCATGTGACAAGCCCTGGGCTGGAGACCTCACAGGCACAGGCGGCTCGGACTTGATTCCTGCGTGCTGAGAGCTCCCATCTGCTGGGTGAGATGCAGGGGCCTGAGAGCAGTGACTTCCCCAGCACTTGCTGGCTGGTCCTGGTGGTGAAGACTAACCTGCTGAGGAGAGGATGGCTTCTGAAGTTTTCCCAAAGAGTCACCCAAAACAGTGTAGGCTGCAGGACAGGCTGCCATGGAGAGAGGAGGTGCCGGAGGGGACCTTGGACGGGGAGGAGTGAGCAAGGCCCCGGGGACCACCATCCTGTGACAGTCTGGCTGCCTTTGTGTGGTTGCTAGGAGGACACTCACAGACACTCACATCTAGCTATTTGTTTTCAGATGGGGAAACTGGGGCCTAGTGAGGCAAAGAGGCTTGGCCTAAGGTCACCCAACAAGTCTGGGCTTCCTTGGTGGTTCAGATGGTAAAGAATCTGCCTGCAAGTGCAGGAGACCTGAGTTCAATCCCAGGGTGGAGAAGTTTCCCTGGAGGAGAGAATGAATACCTACTGCAGTATTCTTGCCAGGAGAATTCCGTGGACAGAGGAGCCTGGCCATGGGGTTGCAAAGAGTCAAACATGACTGAGCGACTTTCATTCACTGACTTACTCACCCAACAAGTTATGTATTCACTTAACAAACACTGATGAGTGTTTATTATATGCAAGGCACTGAGCCAGTCACTCGGTACATGAGTGAACAAGACAGGCTTAGACCTGCCCTCAGGGAGACTACTGATGTGTGGAAGAATCACAATAAAGAAGGATTACTCAAAGGGTCATGGATGACAGATGTGCTAGGCACTGAGGAGATGTCTGAGGTTCTCTAAAAGCATAAAGCAGGTGCTGATCCAGCCTGGAGGCCACAGTGGCTTCTGCTGAGCCCTGAAGGCATGTGGTCTGGAGAATAGACTGGCAGAGGGAAGAGTACAAAGATCCTGAGGCCAGAGGGAGTGTGGCAGGAGTGAGGAAGGAAAGGAAGTGTGGCTGGGCTTCAGGGAAGGGACTGGGGGAGGGGAGGAGAAGATGCTGGGTAGCCGAGCCTGGTCTCCTAGACGGTGCCCAGCATTTCCGTCTTTCTCCTGCAGTGGAGTGACCCCTCCTCCAGGAATCACACAGTCATGGGTGCAGGTCAGAGCTAGTCTCACACACTCTAGGTCCTGGGCTCTAGGGAGAAGTATCTGTTTCCATCACAGGCAGCCTGTTCCACTGCTCGGAGCCCTTCAGAGAGATGCCCAAAGCCACATTCCATCTGACCCCCTAAAGAGAGAGCAGAGGGACTCAACTTGGAACCTTCCTTGGATGAGCCTACCTTTCCCTCCAGAATCTGGGAGAAAAGTTATCTTGTAACCTTTGACAATATTACATAATTTTAGAGCCAGTAGGGCTCTCAAAAGAAGCTATCAATCTCCTCATTTCTTAGAGGCCCCCAGAAAGGATAGGGTTTGTCTGACCTCTGCACAAATCCTCTGGCATTTCTACTAAGCTCTTATTTACTTAATTCAGATTTTAGGTGTCAGGGATCATGTTTCCCTCTGTGTTTCATGTGATCCTCATGCAAACAGAGAGTCTAATCCTAGTTCATTCAGCTTGAAATGCCCAGAAGCCCAGGCAGACTATAGGGCTTCATGCTTTGGAGGAGTCCACCCACGTATCCATGCACTCACTTGCTCAGATGCTCATTTGCTCATTTATCCCGCATGTATCTTACATGGTAGCTGTGACCCTGGCACAGTGCTGGGCCCGCAGAGGCAGGAGGATGGGATGAATCAGGCCTCAGCTCAGCCCCCAGCCTCACAGGGGCAATGTGATGTGGATTCAGAACCTGTAAGGCGAGGGAGAAAGTTCTGTGTACCCTGATGAACAGAGACGGTGCCTCCGCAGAGAGCACGGGGAGGAAGGATGTTATGGAGGAAGTGACGTTGGGGGACAGGTCAGTAGGCCTGTGTAGAGATGGGCCTTGGAGAAGGAACCCTGTTCCTAGCAGTCTGGCCTTGCAGTGTCCTTCAGAACGGCACAGACACTCTGCAGGCCTGACTCTGATTGTGTGGGCTCCGAGGCAGGGCCCGCCTGCGGGGTAATGACTGGCTCAGTGCGTTCTGGTTAATCTGCTTCACCTTCCCGTAATGGGCCGTAATGAGGAGAGATAGTAGGTGAGACCACGGGGCTGCGGGTACGCACCCAGGCACTGGACTATGAATGACGCACCCTCGCTCCGCACTCCCAGTCACTTGGGATAAATGTTGGCTGAGCACGGGGCCACAGGCTAGGAAGGGACGCGCGTCAAGGGTACAAGTTTCTCACACCTGCTGGCAGCCTGGCCTCGGGAGCCCCAGTGGGTCAGGAGGGGGCCCAGAGCTCTGGCCACCAGGGCCGGCCCCTCTTCCAAGTGTGAGCTGATCTGGTCTCCTGGGCCTCGTGGCAGCTCACGGGGGAGGATGCACATTTACTGGCCTTAGAGCTGGGAGTGTCTGACTTGAGTCCAGCCTCTGTCCAGCTGGGCAAGTCACTTTTACTCCAGGCCTCAGTTTCTGTATCTGGGACAGTAGGGAGTGTGGTTCTGACATCAGCCCAGCACAGCCCAGCAGTAGCGGCAGTGATCTTCCCTGTCTATGCAGTTTCCAAAGATCTTTCACATCCATCCTCGCGTCAGACTCTGCACGCAAATGCCTGCTACACAGGCCAGGCAAGATTTGTGAGCCCATTTTACAGACTGGAACATTTTTTTTCAGACCGTTCACCCTGTTTTCAGGCTTCTGGGATTTGTCGAGGCTGCAGACCTGGACTCTGACCTCAAGATCTTTTGTCTACCTTGGACAAGACAGATATATGGGCCTCCGTGCCCCCAAACAGTTCTAGGGGGCAGTTTTCTGATTGGCTGGTTTTCAGAACTGGCCTTTTGCAGCCAGAGTCCGCTGGTCATTCTTAGAACCCTCAGAGTCTTGCCAGAGGCTTGGGTGGTCAAATCCTCCTTAATCCCCCTGCCTGCAACTGCCGTGGGAAGAGCATACCTCAGGGCCAGGCTGGGGTCCTTCACCCGGCTGCTCTTACTGCCAAGATCTGTCCTGGGTGGAAGCATCCATGCTTCTTCCTTTTATACAGGAACTTAGTAAGACCTTGTCCTGGGTAGAATGGGTTAATGTATACACACACCTAGGACAATGAAACACTTCCTTTTCAAAATGGTTATTGAAAAAGCAATTCTGTTTTTCCTCCATGTGAAGTGAGTAAAAATCACCTTGGAGGAGAAGAGAAAAAAAAAAGAAACGCGGGTGAGTGGTATGTGTGTGTGTGTGTGTGTGTGTGTGTGTGTGTGTTTCGGACAGTGGAATGTGTTTCAGTAAAACTCACGTTGACGCTGTCATGGGTGCCACGCTGCTGGCTGGCGGGAGCTGGTCCCTCCTCCGGCCACGGCAGGAAGGCCACCCCCTGAGCACAGCCTGCCGTATTTACTCTCGGCAGACTATTAACCAACACTAGGCTATTAATCTGGCTTTTGAGCCTTCACTAAAGCCCATAAAAGCTCACAGTTGTCAAATGGAGTTCATTTTAATTTCCTTTCAATCACAGTAAATTATTCAGGTGATAAATCAGCTGGAGCAGCCTCCTGGCTGTAATAGAAACCCTAATTCCTGGCTAATTATCCAGCCCATTGCTGCCAACAGATCAATACGGGCGCAAAATGGAACGGGCCCAGGGCCCTCCCTCCCATCGGGCCAGAGACAGGAAGACAGCTGGGGAAGGGGGACGTGCTGCTGACCTCCCAGGAAGTTCAAAGGTCACAGGGGGTTAAACCGGGAGAAGTCCTGTCCCTTGCTAACAGAAGCCACCAGGAATGCCTCCTGCCCCCATCAGCTGCTTTGCCCCTGCTCAGCGGCCTTTCTCCAGTCTGGTGGGCCTGGGGCTGAGTTCTGCCGGCTTCTGTGGGCATCCTCTTCCTGGGAAGGGGTTGGTTTTATGTTTCTGAGCACGGTTGAGCTGGGTCATCAGAGAGGGTTTGAACTCTTGCTAAGTCAGGTAGAGAGCTGGGGACTGTGAGGAAAGGATGAGGTTGCACACATGTTTTCGTTCTTCAGAGAATTCTGGGGGGAGAGCGGGCAGGGAGGGAAGTGGGGAGCGGAGACAGGTGTGCCAGGCTAGAATGGGGAAGGCTTCCTGGAGGAGGTGTCCTTCATGCGGTGCCTTGAGGGGTGGGCAGAATGCAGCTCGGTGGAGAAGGTAGAGTTGGTTGCAGAGGGCGTTCTAGGCGGGAGCAGCACGGATGAAGGCGTGGAGGGTGG